TTTCAGCAGAAGCCACATAATGTTTGGTTTTCTTTCTTTTTATGATGTTAGCAGTTATTTGGCACAATAATGCCCAGATCCACTAATTAATTTTTTATTTTATATTTATTTTATGTGTATGAGTGTTTTGCCTGCATATATGTAAGTTTACCAATTGGGTACAGTGTCCACGAAGGTCAGAAGAGGGTGTCAGATTCCCTGGAACTAGAGTTTCAGATGGTTGTTAGCTACCATGTGGGTGCTCTACAAGAGCAGCCAGTGCTCTTAATCTCTCCAGTCCCAGATCCATTAATTTATTAACAAGACAGTGACATTAGAATTCTATTATTTCTTTTTCATTTAACTGGAATAATGTTATTAAGATGCTTCTTCTAATCTACTGCTTGGTCACCCACAGCTATAGTTCATATAGAAAATGTAGGAATTTTACCTTTGTTTTTCACTTCCCAAGTTAGTGAATTGTTTCAGATAAAGGATCAGCTTTCTTTTTTAAAAAAATATTTTATTTAATATATATGAGTGTATTGCCTGAATGTAAGTAAGTGCACTCGTGTTAAGACAGAAGAGGCTGTCAGATCCCTGGGAACTGGAGTTACAGTCAGTTGTTAGCTGCCATGTGGGTGCTGGGATTTGAACCCAGATCTTCTGTAAGAACAACCAGTGTTCTTAACCATTGAGCCATCACTCCAGCCCCATGAATCAGCTTTCTTTTAAAATTTTACTTTATTTTATATTATGTGTGAGTACCTGTATGTATGTATTTGCACTCTGGGTGAACCTGGTGCCATGTGGGTGCTAGGAACTGAGCCTAGATCCTTTGCAAGAGCAGCAAGTACTCTTAACTGCTGAGCCATCTCTCCAGCCCCCTAGTTCTCTTTTTAAAAAATAATAGTTGGGGCCAGGTGTGGTGGCGCATGCCTTTAATCCCAGCACTCGGGAGGCAGAGGCAGGCGGAGCTCTGTGAGGTCAAGGCCAGCCTGGTCTACAAAATAAGTTCTAGGGAAGTCGGGGCTACAGGGAGACCCTGGCTAAAAAAAACAAAAAAAAAAAAAAGTTGGGCTCAGCGGTTAAGAGTTCTTGCTGCTTGAAGACCCAGGTTTGAATCCCAGCACCCACATAGCAGCTAACAACTGTCCATAACTCCAGTCCTAGGGGATCCAACAACCTCTTCTCTCCTCCGTGGGCATTGTACGACACAGGTGCACTTACTTACATGCAGGCAATACACACATACACATAAAATAAAAAATAATAAATTTTTTTTAAAAAAGTATTCTTGCTGCTCTTGCAGAGGACCCAAGTTCAGTTCCCAGCACCCATGCCAGGTGCATCACAAACACCTGTAATCCTTTTGTCCACAAAGGCACCCATATACATATGGTATACACTCACAGAGGCACACACAAATACATATAAATAAAAATAAAATAAACCTTTTAAAAGAGTATTTTAATAATGTATGGATTCAAACACACGATGTGTATTCTGTGTCATTGTATGTTACAAGTATGCAGTTTGCTTTTTGATGTTACAGGGGGCCACAGTTAAGAGATCGCCTTGAGTCTCAGAAAAGACTGAACTTTTAAACAGAATGCTGAGATTATTAAAAACTGGAGAGATGGCTCAGTGGTTAAGAGCACTGGCTGCTCTTGCAGAGGACCCAGGTTCAGTTCCAGAACCCAAATGGTGGCTAACAACCATTCATAACTCCGGTTCTAGGGGAATCTGATGTCCTCTTCTGATCTCCGTGGGCATTGCATGACATGAGTGCACTTACATACATGCAGTCAATACACTCATACGCATAACATAAAAAATAAATAAATTTTACAAACATATGAAGACTTGGGGACTAGACAGATGGCTCAGTGGTTAAGAGCACTGGCTACTCTTGTAGAAGACCCAGGTTTGGTTCCCAGCACCCACATGGTGGTTAACAACTGTCCATAACTCCAGTTCCAGGGGATCTGACTCCCTCTTCTGACCTCCTCGGGCATTGCATAACATGGATGTACTTACATACGTGCAGGGATAACACTCATACACATTAAATTTTTAAAAATTCTATGAAGATTTTTGAAGTTGTACTAAATAGTTTCGCATCATGATATGGCCTTGAGCTTATGGAGGGCAGTGATAGGAATGTGGCGGTTTGAATGAGAAATGTCTCCCATAAGTTCAAGTATTTAAACACAGCCTCCAGTTGGTAGTACTGTTTAGGGGAAATCATGGAACCTTTCGGAGGTAATGCTTCATGTCTGTGGTTGAAGATATGATCTGTCAGCTTTCTGCTCTGGTGGCCTCCCATCATACCTCGCCTGCCACTGGACTCTCTTTGAAACCATACGCCCAAAGAAACTCTTTCTTCCATAAGTTGCTTTTGGTCATGGTGTTTTGTCACATCAACAGAAAAGTAACTAATACAAATAATAACGGCTGTCTACTATAAGACACACAGGAAGAAGGCTATGTGGGGTGATACCAGGAAGGATGACATCCAAGAACACATGTCCCCTCAACCCCTTAGTCATACAGCTGCTGGCTCTATGGGTCTAGCCTTCACCCCTACCTGACACTTCACTCTGTCATTCTTGATGGACTGGGCTTTCTGCATTGAAATGTGAGCCACAATCTGTTTATCAGAACCACATAGTCAAAGACCTTGTGGGTTAGCCCTGATTGTTCTAACATAGCTACAGACCTTGAACCAGGTATGAATAGAGAGGAGCAGGTTACAAGTTCTGAGCTCAGAGCCCCTCTTCCCCTAAACTGTAATCACAGCCTACTTTCTTGGATTTCAGCCTCTAATGCTGTGAGCTATATAAGAGACTACCTCGTCTTCTTCAAGGAAGGGATGGCTCAGACACCCCAAAGACCTAGGGACTTCTCCCAGCACATTCCCCACCTAGCCCCATCCCTAGTTCTGGAACTCATGTTCCCCACCAGGCCAGTAAAGCCTGATCACCATAAACTGGATGATAGGCTTATGAGTCATACCCCTCAACCAGTTGTGAAGGTTTCTGAAAGCAGACTGGTTTTTTTTTGTTTTGTTTTTTGTTTTTTGTTTTTTTTTTTACTTTAGAGTTCTAGAGACCACTCTTCATCAACATGTGATAAGTTAGAGATAAAGGAAGACAGGGAGGTCTTGAGCCCTAACAGACTGCCTGAAAGCAATCACTCCATCTTTCCAATGCCACTGCCCTCTTCCCCACAGGAAAACTCAGTGTAAGACTGATCCTGAGACACTCATGTGGCAGAGTGATGGCTTCACTCCAGGTTCAAAACTACCACCTGTAGGATTTCCAAAGTGTCCTAGTTTGCTTTCTGTTGCTATGATAAAACACTCTGACCAAAAGCAACTTGGGGGAAGAAAGGGTTTATTTATTTAATCTTAAAGGTCACAGTCCGTCATCGAGGTGAAACCAGGGCAGAAGCCCAAAGCAGAGACCATGGAGGGACGCTGCTTACTGGCTTCCTCCCTCTGCTTGGTAGAAAGCTGACTAGTTTTCTTTCTCTCTTCCTTTCTTTCTGAGATTTTTATTTATTTATATATATTTGTGTATGTTTGTCTGTGTGTATGTGCATGTGTACATATGTGTACAGGTACCTGAGCAGACCAGAAAAAGGTGTCAGATCCCCTGGAGCTAAAGTTACAAGCAGTCGTGAGCTGCCTAATGTGGGTACTAAGAATCGAACTCAGATCCTCTGGAAGAATAGCTAGTGCTTTTAACCACTAAGCCATCTCTCCAACTCCTCAACCAGTTTCCTTATACCACACAGGACCACCTACCATATAACAGTTGACTGGACCCTCCCACATCAATCATCAACCCTCAATCACAGACACTGCCAGAAGCCAGTTTGATCTGGGAAATCCTTCAATTGAGACTCCCACTTCCCAGATGACTTTTGATGTGTCAAATTGACAATAAAAACTAACCATGGGGGCTGGAGAGACAGCTCAGCAGTTAAGAGCACTGACTGCTCTTGCAGAGGACCCGGGTTTGAGTCCCAGCACCACATGGTGGCTACAAACCATCCTTAACTCTAGTTCCAGGGGAGTCCAAAACCCTCTTTTGAACTTCCACAGCATTGTACATCACGGTGCACTTATATACATGCAGGCAATACACTCATACACATAAAATAAAAATAATAAAATATTTTTTAAAAAAGCTAACCAGGACACAGAAAATATTTTTATTTAGTTCAGGTAGGTGTTTCCTATACATTCTGGATTCTTGCATTAGAATTTTTCTCTGTTGAACTAAATAAATGATTCTAAATCTTTTAAGATATGATTAATGCAAATGTACAAACAAAATACAGGTCATTATAAAAAGGTCTTATGTACAAAAATGTTTAAAAAGAACATTTTATAACAGTAAAGAAAGGAAACCAAGAGCCAGGAATAGCAGTCCATTTCTGTACTCCAGTACTTTGTTGTGAGGTGAAGGGCAAATAAGGAGCACAAGGTCTCCATGCCTGCATAGCAAGTTCAGCCTGAGCTACATGAGACTGTCTCCAAAAGTCATCCCTTCACTCTAGTCTTGGTGGTCCTACTGCCCAGAGTCTGACCTCCTGGTCTATGGTTTTCCTAGACACAAGTCCCAGCCCTTCCTAGATAGGAACAGGGACTTTACAAGGCCAAGGCACCCTGTTTATTCTACATAGGGTAGACAAAGTGATCCCCACAGGTGGTGTCCCAGACCCACGTGGGCAGGTTGCTTAATCTTAAGCAAGTGATGTGACCACATCTATGCCAGTCTTTTCCCTCTACTCTGGGCAGCTCCCAGGTGTCAAAGAGACCAGAAAGATCTTGGCACAACATGATCTAAGTAGTTCTCAAACTGGCTAGCCACTGGGCCCAGTGGCATTCAGAGAGTTCTTCAGAGGTGTTCGGAGGCCTAAGGACTTCTTAACTCTTCTTGTTTCTTTGTTTTGTTCTTTGAGACAAGGTCTCCCTGTGTCTTTCTTTCTGAAATTTTTACTTATTTATATATATTTGTGTGTGTGTGGCCTTGGTCTCACAGGATCCTCCTGTTTCTGCCTCCCAAGTGTTGGAATTAAAGGCAAGTGCTACCACATTGGCAGGACTTCATAACTCTTTCAGGCCTCCTGGTTGATGCTCAACTTGGGAATGCCTGTGGGACTTCTTCCATGTCTAGTGTCTGTAATCAGCATGCAAAGAGGCAAGTCCAGGGTAGAAGGTGGGCGCAATTCCCCCAGAATCTGTGTTTCTGATTGAAATTAAATCCCAAGAACAGCCCCGTGGTCTGCTGCCCAGAGAGGACAGGTCAACAGTCTAAGCCTAGGGTTCATGAGTTCTAGAAGAGCGCATTTGCACCTGGAAGTGCTCACAGCGGGCATGCTTTACAGTCAGCCCATAGATGGGGGTCATGTCCACCTTCTCACCTGGTGACACGCTGAATTCCACCTGCTGCAGCAAAATGGCCAGGAAGAGAAAGACCTCCAAGCGGCCAATGGTCTCCCCAATGCACTTCCGTTTGCCCAAACCAAAGAGAATGACCTTCTCACTCAAGACCTTGTCCAGAGTGCCACTGGGGGTGAGAAACCTCTCAGGCCGGAACTCACTAGGGTCGCCCCACAGTTCCCTGAAAGCAGAGGGAAGCGGCTAAAGTAATAGCTCAGAGACTTAGAATTATCAAGTAGGTTGAGCCTCAAAAGACAGGAGGGTCTGAAGCCCAGCCCACCCAGAAGTTTCCACTGCCCCTGACAACTTACTGGTCATGGTTGATCTGCCACTGGTTCACAAAGACACAACGGCCCTTGGGGATGTAAAAACCATTCAGACTTGTATCTCTTGTGGTACTGGGGAAAGAGGAAGCACAGTCAGGCTCAGGGCCATAGAGGAACTCCCTCCTGTCCCCCATGCCATGCCCCTCCCACAAATCCTAATGGGGTGTGCACACTAGACCCAGTCTCAGACAGAAGTAGATCTATGGCCTCACCTGTGGGGAATGGTAAAGGGGACAAAGGACGCATGTCGGAAGGTCTCCAAGATGAAGGCCTCCAGATAGGGCAGCTGAGGTCTGTCAGAAAGTCGAGGCCTTCGCTCTCTGCCAATCACTGTGTCTGCAGAACAAAGAGATCCAAAAGGATTTAAGGAGTTGCCCAGATCTTGTCAGGATCCCTGCGTGGAGCCCTCTGAATAGAACCACCACCTACCTAGCTCCTCCTGGATCTTTCTCTGTATCTGAGGGTTTGTCACCAAGTACATAAGGCTCCAAGAGATGGCAGTTGTAACTGTGTCAAACCCTGCACAGGAAAGAACAGAGGGAAAAGTTAGGCATGTGGCATTTGGGACACCTGAGCACAGAAATGGTACATTGAAGTGTACATACCAGCTCCAAAGATGTCCAAAACAATAGTAATGACCTTCTCATCTGACAACTGGACATTGGCATTCTCATCTAGCTTCCTGTCCTGACAGTGCTCAATGAGGCTGTCTGTGATATCCCGGATGTGGCCCTGGGAGGCAAAGATGCACAGGTGAAAAATATCCCAAGTCCAGACCTACTTTTCCTTCTAGGCCCCTAACTGTTGCTATAACCTTTGTACAAGAGGTGACAGCCGAGGCTGCTGTCTCAGTTTCGCTCTGCCTCTCTAAGTCTCCATCCTTCCTTAGAGAATGGTAGCCAAACAGAGGGATCCCTGATGCACAAAGCCTAACCCTGTTATCACCTACATGTGCTCTTTAACTTTTTTCTATCATGAGGCCTGGAGACGGGTTCTTTCACTCTTTCTAGTCCAGTAGGAGCTGGAGCAGGGCTCTGCACACTTGGGGTAGTTAATCAGGGGCTCTTGTGTAATGAAAGCATAAAAGGACTAGTTAAGAAAAGGTTCTTTTGCCCTAGCTGGGAGTGATAGCACGTACCTTTAATCTCAGCACTTGGGAGGTAGAGGCAGGCAGATCTCATCCCAGTGAGTTTGAGACCAACCTCGTTTATACAATGAGTTCCAGGACAGCCAAGACTACATAGTGAGACCATGTCTCAAAAAACAAACAAAAAGTCCTATTGCCCCACCAAAGGTGGAGTGCAGTCCAGTACTGGCCTCAAGCTTACCTGTCACCTCCTAACCCCTGCTTCCCACCACCCACCTGCTTTTCTGCAGCCTCTACCTTCTCAAATGTTCTGTAGTGCTCCTTGATTAGCTTCTGCATGAAGCTGTAGAACTTCTTATTCAAGTCCTTGAAGACATCCAGGCCAGAGTTAGGCAGGTAACGGAGGACAGGGATGAAGTCAGCTGGGTATCCAGAACCAGTCACCTCCCCAAACTCATTGCTCAAGTTGACTAGGCTAACCAGCTCTTGGTTATCATGGTCATAACGTTGACCAAAGCACATGGCACAGATAACATTGGCCACAGACACTACCAAATACCTATAAGGGTCAAAGTGCCCAACCTCTGCCATCAGCTTCTGGAACTTGCTGATGAGGTATTCAGCCTCCTTGCTCACATGCTCCTCCAAGTAGCAGGAAGATGTGGAAGTTGGGTCTGAGGCTGTGGAGAAATTCTTCAGGGCATTCTGGGCCAGGCACCGCCGGGCAGCCCATACTGGTCCAGAGTCTGGGCTGAAGGCAATGCTCTGGCCATTACTGATGAAGGTGAAACTGTAAAAGTCTGGCCGGCCTTTGAAGTCATCTCCTTGCTTCACCAGGGCCTGTCGAATGGTGTCCATGCCACTCAGCACCACCACAGGGATGGAACCGATACGGATCTGCAGCACATCCCCATACCGTTGGCTCAGCCTGGCCAGTGTGAAATGAGGCCTCTTCCCCAGGGTCAGTATGTGCCCAATAAGGGGCAAGCCCCAGGGCCCCGGTGGACTCTTCAGGCCTCTGGGGACCTGGCTCCTTGAGGCTCTGATCACCCAGAATACTATGCAGAAGATGACGGTAGCCAGGAGCAGCTCTGTGGCTGATATGGAGACTGGGAGTCCATACAGAGAAGACATGATCTTAAGTGACTGCGGAGAGTAAAGCAAGAAGAAAGAAAATACAAGCCATCAGATGGAGGATGAGAGGGACTAATATTCTAAAGTGTCAGCATGCTGGTCAAGAAAGGTGCAATCTTCCACCCAGAGCTGCTCACTGGACAAGAAAGGGAGGAGCGAGGGAAGGGGGAGGAGGGAGGGGCAGAGGATGTTTGTAGAGCTGCTACTGTGTCAAGAATTTCAATCATTTAAAAAAAGTCTTTTATATGTGTGTGTGTGTGTGTGTGTATGTATGTATGTAAGAACTGTGTACGGAGGCCAGAGGATAACTTAAAGGAGTTGGTCCTCACCTTCCATTATGTGGGTCCTGGTGATTGAACTTAGGTTGTCAAGCTTGGCAGTAAGTGCCTTACCCACTGAGCAATCTTGCCAGCCCCCTCAGTCATTTTTCCATCAGTCCTAGCCATAAACCTATGAGGAAGGCTACAGTGAGATTCAGGGAGAATACATAGCATGCTCAAGGTCACACAGTGGAAATGATGGATATACTTTCAACTCAAATTGCCTACTTGTAGAAAACCTCCCTTCACCACTGTGCTAATTTTTTTTTGTCTTTTTGAGACAGGGTCTCCCTGTAGCTCCAGCTGGCCTGGAACTCATTTTATAGACCAGGGTGGCCTCATACTCACAGAGATCCACCTGTCTCTGCCTCCCAAGTGCTGGGATTACAGGCGTGCACCACCACGCCTGGCTATACTGTGCCAATTTCAAAAGCAATTTCCAATCTCAGATTATGGTTTCCTTAACCCCAATGCTATTATTTTCTTTGTATTTCCTAAACTCCACTTTACATCCACAAAATATTATCTAATATATCTGTTTCAAAGTACAGCTTTGATCTTTTTTTCCCCTAACACATTCAAATAAACACATAATCAACATACATCACCCCCAAGTCTCTTTGGGTCCTACCTACCACCTTTGGGAAAATTATCCAAAGCTTTTAATTCCAGTACTAGGGCAGCAGAGGTAGCTGGGCCTACATGGAGACTCTGCCTTTTTAAAAAAAATAGAGAGAGAAAAGTAGAAAGAAAAGTATTCTATCAGGGAAATTAGAGGTCATTTGTTGCTTTGGTCTCATTTTGCATTCAGGGTACATTAACCTCCAAATAGGACACTGACTTGCCTAGGGTCACCCAGCAACCTATGACAGAGCCAGAGTTCAGAGCTCTTAGTCCATGGAATGGCCTGCTGCTGTCACTGGTGTCTCCCTTTGAAAATCAATCAATCAATCAATCAATCAATCAATCAATTGTCCTAGAACCCTCAGTTCTCTACTGTTCAATCTCAGGACCTAGAGAATCCCACCAAACCCCAGTAGAGGGTAGGAAGGAGACAGAATGCAGGAAGGCCACTGCCCAAGCTACACTGCTCTCAGTTCCTGTGGTCCAAGTTCAACTGAACCTGCTTTAAAAGCACCTGGAGATCAGCTAAATAGAGTTCCCAGTAATGGGAATCTAGGCCAGGCTTTTTGCTGTGCTCAAGTCTCATGAATGAATAGTCGGGGCTTCCCACCTCTTACAGGTCATAAGAAAGCAGAAAATAAATGGAAGATTCCCATTAGGCTAGGATTAAAAGAAAACTCCAGACTGGAAAAAAATCAGAAATGGATCTGAATTTAACCATATCTAGGAAGAAATTTTTCCCTTTAGGCTTGATCTAGAAAAGACATGCAAATTCACAGACCACTCTTTCCAAGGCACTGTGCTCTGCCTAGTACTTGGTGGTCAGGAGAGGCACTTTCCAGTGAAGTACAGTCCAGATGGTGTTGGACTAGTCAGGGTTGCAATTACATGATGAGAGAGAGAGAGAGAGAGAGAGAGAGAGAGAGAGAGAGAG